CCTCCCACAGGTGTCCTCTTTTTTGAAACTGGAAATATGGTAACCTTATTTGAATGCAGACCAGCAGCGTGAAGAGCAGCCCCCAGCAGGTAAGTCTGTGGAAGGAAAGGGGGGGGGGGGGGGGGCAGATTGATGCCCCCATAGAGAGGGAGGGAGTAGGGCAGGGACTGCGGACTCTGGGGCAGGTCACGGGATGGAGCCATAGGCAGCTCATCCAGGGGCACGGTTTCCTACCACAGTGCACACCCCTGGGGAGGCACTGGGGGCATGTGCCCCCTGGATTTGTGCGTGGGGTGGAGACAGGCTGAGGCTGTGCACCCTGCTGCCTCTGGCCCGAGAGCCTGTGGCTGGCAGCACGTCCCCAGCCCACCCGATGGCAGGAGACACAACATGGTGTTGCACGGCTCCTGGGGCAAAGGCAGCAGGGTGCAGAGGCCTAGCCCACAGCAGGCAGCCCACCTCTACCACACGCACAAATCCAACACAGCACAGTGGCAGGGATCCATTCCCGCCCACCCCAGTTCCTGGATGAGCCGCCCATGGCTCCATCCTACAATCCACCCAGGCCCTGCGGCTCCACTCATCCCAGGCCCTGCCCCACTCCCTCCCTCACTATGGGGGGGAGGGGGGGGCTTGATCTGTCCCTCCCTTGCCTCCACCTTCACCTCCACAGACTTAGCTGCTGGGTGCCGAGACACACTGCCAAGCTGCGTTCCTGGCCACGTGCATACTGTGGCTTCTCATGTATGTGTGTCCATCTGTGTCTGCGGAACCCGCTACTGCAGCTGCCTGGAGCCCATGCCCAGGCTGCTCTCTGGCTCCTCTGCACTGCCACTGCTGTCCTGCTGGGTGGCCAGGAGGCAGCGGTGACGGCAGTAAAATGGAGCCCAGGCATGGGCTCCAGAACCACATGTGCAATTAACATATTAAAAAATTAACAGAAGAACCAATTAACGTATTCATCACGCACATTCATGGTGATTGAGAGCCCTAATTTTTTTGACAAGTGAAATAGAGCAAGCTCCACTGTAAACAGGATCAATATAGCACTAAAACATTGCTGTGAATCAAAGTCACAAAAAATGAAATAATTTGGTTGTTCAAAGGAGCAATCAAAGTGTGGCAGAGTGTAAATGACCTCTATCTAACTCTAAACAGTATATAAACGGTTCTACTTGTGAAAATACTCTTGTTCTCAAGTAATGCTTTCTTTTTGTAACTGGGCAGTAATATCTTTCTGGTTCCCAAGGTCAAGCTTCATACTGTCTGTTTGCAATTACATAAAAACTGTTTCTTAGTACATCCGTCTTTAAAGTCTGTCTTTAAATCTCAATGCATTCCTGAGTATGCAAACTGAATGCAATTCCCATAACACTATTTAAAACAAGCTATCCATTCTCAGCAATTTTCTGAATAATCTAAATAACACTGCATTATGTGGGCTGGTAATGGGACAAATCCATAGGAGCTCTTGGATAAAGGGAAGGAACCTCAAACAACCAACAGGACAGGGATCTCATCAGGAGATAGGGAAAATGGACATCAAGTGGGAGCAGCTAGGCAAGTAGCCACAGTATTGCAACATCTGGCACAATGAGAGGAAAATGAATAGATAGGCCTGATGGTTTGAACAAAATGCTGCCAGGTCTAGAAAGGCCAGCTGAGACACTAATTCCAACATACCAGCAGCCCAAAAGTCAAATAAATTGAGGTAACATAATTTATTATTAGTCAAGCAAAGCTAGACTTCACACTCTACCTTGATGCCATTAAAACATTAACTTGCCAATGTACTAGGCATCATTGGATAGCTTACTAACTCTGGTAAAAACTGGAAAGCCAAAATGGGGAAATAAGAGGACACATGGTGTCTCTGGCATCTGGTTCACAAACCCAGAAGCTTCAGGATTGTCTGTAACACTATATGTATCAAAGAGCCACCTGATGGCAGCCATTAACATCTTACAACAAAACACATGCCATACACCAGCTCTGCCCAATATCCCACTACATTTCAAAATGCTGACACCTTTAACAGGTGATCTCCCACACAGAAAGAACTAAAAATAATAAAAGTTAAGAGGAAACAGGGGCCAAATAGAGTCCTGGAGTAGGAAAAGTAGGGGTATGAAGAACCTTGATCTGAAGAAATGAAGAATGGGTAGGGAGAACTGATGAGTACAGAACTCCTGGCATACAGAATTAGGAACCCTGCCATTAAGGGGAAGGGAGTTGGTGAGCTATCTTCATCCTAGGTATGAAGGTGTGTGGGGTGGGGTGGAGTAGGCATGGGAGAGATGCAGTGACACAGTAAAATTAGAAAAATAAGAGGTTGACAGACAGAGAGCCTGGTGACAAGAACAAAGTGATGAAAGGCACCCCCCCTCCCCCCGCCCCCAGTATATGTAGTGCTGCTCCAGAAGTGAAGTGCACAATCATCTTGTTAATGCAGTTTCAGAGGCATGCATGCTTGCTTGTATAATCAAAGCAGATTACACCCATATCAAAAAGTGCTTACAGGTTTGCACAGCAAAATACTACTTAATGGTTCTGCCATAATCATCAGTGGAGTATTTACATCTTATTATTTTATGAAAATGCAACATGCAATGCCTAACTGTAGCTAGTGTTTAAAGTGAAATACTTCTCGACTGAAAAGGTTTAATTTATCATATGTTTATGTTCACTGAGTAATCCACCTTTCAATAAAATACAGCCACTCAAGGCACTAAAGAATAAGGTGACTGCCTTGTACTTGATATATACTCAAAAGCCTAAACAGCCACCTGTTTTAATCTCCTTGTAAGGGAATGAATTTCTGGTGCTCGTCTGTTAATTTTTCATCCAGTCCTGATAGCTGAAAACACTACAGTGCATCCAACTCCCAACATCTCAAATTCCAAATTAAGGTGGGTGATTAAGTAGAAAAGGTGAGGATGTCTTTTGATAATTAAAGACATGTGTGGGTATTTAATGTGATTCAGCAAATGTGAAAGTCAAGACACTGGCAGTAATTCCATAGTGTTATCAAAATAAGAGACAGCAACATCCCTCAAAGTTACCCTGTTAAAGTTTCATATTTCATCTTCACTCACATTCTTCCTTCTATTGTCCTCTCCTCCCAAATTATCCAAACCCTTTTTTTTACCTCATTCACTGTTGATTACAACTGTAGGCCCTGGATTTTGCCTGCTTTGAGCTTTTCTAACCAATTTAGCAAGTATTCTTATGATTCCTTTTGAGTAGCCAATGAACTAAGCAAACCATGGTACAGGACTTACGCAAAATTTCCATGGAACTTGCAAGCAGTTCTTATCTGAAGAAACTCTGCAAGCCCAGTTAGGGGTCCCCTTCCATGAGACAGTATATGATTGCTGAAATATTTAGGGGTCTTCTGAATGTGGAGTTCGAGGCCCCTGCAGTGAGGGAAGGAGTGGAGCTGGGGCAAGCACTGCCCAACCAGAGCTGGACGGGGTGTGGGACAGAGCCATGGCTCACCGGGGGTGGGGAGGGGGGAGTGGATCCCGTGGCTGCACACACCCTAGGAGGCCATGGTAGGTGTTGCATGCCCCTGGATCTGTGCGGGTTGGGGAGGCTGCCGCTGTGGGCTGGAGCTGGCACAGGGCTATTCCTGACAGGAGCTGGGCCATGCTGTGCTCAGGGCAGGTGGCAACAGCACTGGGAGGGAGCTACAGGGGGGGGCGGGAGGCAGCAGACACCACAAAATTTGCCATAGCCCCACCAACCCTCCTCCCAGGGCCACCACCACCTGCTCCAAGCGCAGGAAGAGCCCGGCACTGGCCCAAGCCTGCACCGGCAGCCACCCTGCCCTGCACAGATCCAGAGGGCACGCACCACCCCCCATGCCCTCCTGGGATGCATGCAGCTGCGAGAGCCACCCTCCCCCCAGATGAGCTGCAGCTCTATCCTGCACCCCACCCCAGCTGGGCAGCCCCTGCCCCACTCTCTCCCACACTGTGGGGGGCCTTGACCTGCTCCCCACCATGCCTCTTCCCTTTCCCCTCCCCTTCCACCACAACAGACTTATCAGCTGGACGCAGCTCTCCAAGCTGCCGGGCTGCGCTCCTATCCCCGTGCATGCTGCAACTGCACACATTCACAGGGCATTTATTGGCTACATTATCGGCCACATCAGGCAAAAGAAGCTGATTTCTAATAGAGTCAATTTTCTTTATATTGGTGCCAATCCGATATCGGACCGATGCATCGGTGCACCTCTAGTCAAAACACTAAAAAGAAACCTATTAAAAATGGAACCTATTAAAAATGCATATCAAATAATCATATCTATGATTATTTGAAAAAACAAAAATTATTTAATATTTTAAAAAATTATTTAATATTTAAAAAAATATCTGTCCACTTCTTAATAACCTTGGGGGCTGATCCTACAAACAACACAGCAGCATGAGCTCTTGCTGTCAAAGTATGCTGCATATACTACTACAATTGCTGGGATAGGTCCTTAACAGGTATATCTAGTAATATTACTCCTGTAACATTTCACAAGTAAAACAGCAGATGAATTCTTCTTTTGCTATATAGATATGTATATACATATCTATATATCTCTCTAACCACACACCCCCATCCTTTATGAAAGCCATCCTTTTAAACTAAGGCCATTTTTACACCAGTGCAATATCTTAAGAGGTCTTTGCCTACAAGGCATTTACCAACTATATATTTATTTTTATCTCAATGCATCTCTCTAAAGTTATTTGCTTTTCTTACAATGGCATACCCAAACATGAAACCTGTAAGAGGCAAAAAACATACATTAAAGTCCCAGACTTTCCAATTCTAATTAAAAATAAATAAATCAATCAGGAAACACAGTTATTGCTGAAAAAATAAGATTTATGCTAAAACAAAAAAATAACTGAGTATCTAGAGATTATGACATTTTCAAGCATAATTGATGGTAGCCACATTCTTACTTTTTAAGCTAAACTTATGAAAAGGAAATAGATACTTACTTGTGTCTGCCTGGCTGCCCACACTGATATATCTGTCATTCCCAGGAAGTGCTGTTTGATAGTACGTTGCCTCCTCCTGCTGAGGAACCTTGGCATTCTTCGCAGTAAGGAAAGCCACTGCTAATTCCAAATTGCCATTGCTATCCTTTAAACACCAATGGGGGTGAGGGGGAGGGAAAAAAAAGAGACTAACCATTGTGGATCAGAACGTATTATAAGCAGCCTCAATTATTATACAAGCAAGGGCACTTTGTATTTTGTATCAAATACAGGTTAGAAAGTCAGACCTAAAATTATTTTTATTCTCGAAACCTTTGGCCCCACATTGCTCCAAATGGGGTAGAGCCCTACCTGTTCCCTCCCGGGACAGCTCACACCATGCTCCTGCCAGTACCCACTCTGCTGCCAGCCACCTTCCATCCACTCTGCCTGCCCGGCACAATAAGTAGGCAGAATCTGGAGCCCCATATGCTGGGGCAGGAGTCACCCACCTGCACCATCCCCCCTGCCTGACTGGGCATATGGTACCTGGCACACATACCCATGCTACCTGCTGCCCAGAGCAGCACACCAGAGGCAGGGGGAGGAGCCACTGGAGCTACCCAAGTGGTTGCAGCAGCTGTGAAAGCAGCCCCGCCAGGAAGCTGTGCGTGCTGCCCAGAGCCGGGGGCATGCTGTCAGTGGGTGCGGAGTAGGTATGGGCAGGAAAGGGGTGCAGGCTGCCCCAGGAAGAATCAGGCAGGGCTTGGCCCCATGATCACAGGGGCAACCATGGGCCAGACAGGGACAGTTCGAACCACCTCTGCATCTGCACTGCACCACGTGCCCCCACCCACGTGAGCTCTACTGCACATGCCCCTGCCTTCCTATCCCTCTCCCCACCCCTGACCAGCTCCTGGGACCTAGCACACAGGCAGCCCCTCCCCACACACGCCCTCCACCCCAACACATCATATACAAGAGATTTTATACATTAATATATAAGATTTAATTCTGAGCTATTATGCAATTGCTTCTCAATTGACTACTCAAAAACTATATCAGGACAAAAATTGGCTTTTTGAAATAAAATTACAATACATTACAGTAGATGTTTGATTTTTAGTATAAGATTTGTTTTTTGTATATAATTTGTTAAAATGGTATCTTCTGAAAGATTGTGCATCTGGTACCCTCGATGGCTCACCAAAACTTGTTAAGTGGAACTCCAGCTGCATTAGACCCACCCCTGCATTAGGCAATCATAAATATTTACCATACCTTTAAAGCTTGCTGCAGTACTTGGATGTCATTGATACCAGTGATCTCCCTCAGCTGATTCAAAAAGGTCTGTTGGTGCTAAAAATGAAGAAATAGCTCATCAAAATAATAAAGAGATATTTGATATAATGTAGTTAATTTACCTTTTCTTGCTTAAAAAGAGCATATCATAAGTATGATCCATATAAAGAAGGATAAAGCGTGATTGTGCTCTCTCTTTCTCTACACACACACGAGATAGTTTATTATTGTTTGAGTTTCCATTTTTGTTTCCCAATATTTGTACATTTGATGTAAATAAGCTATTTTAAGGGGGGGAAGGCAGTATATGCAGTGGAGGACATGGCTACAAGAATATAGCATTAGCAATGAAGATCTAAAGTTTACTTGAAGAACAAGCTATATACAGTACTTGTGCACTTCAAGCCATATTCCCCAGTCTCCCAACCAAATCCATGGGGACAGACCTTTGCACTTCCTTCTATGAAGATTCAGAAGGTTTACAATACTGATCCTAGACAGTCAAGTACATGACTGAGATGTTAAATGTTGCAAGGTAAGTATTTCATTGAACACATCCAGAAAATAATATTAACTTGATATCAGCTTCTTTATATATAAACTGATTTCTTCTAACACCGATTGTACCTATTCCTCACACATGTATTTACATATACAACAAGTTTTAAAACCTAATCATTTGAACCGTCAAAAGGTCAGAAATGCATCTATTTCTTTTTCCAAAGGGATTTTTGGACCAATTTTCACATTCTTATAGCTGAAAATATTAGTGACTAACAATGAAAATTTAGGCATGCTCACTAAATGTACCCTTATCTGTCAGTACACAAGACACTTAAAAAGTAATGACAAAAATATGAACAATTAAACAAAATGTTAGTACCCAAGGAGAAATGTATTCTATAAGAATGACTACATTTATAGGTTTAACTTTTAAAAGTATAACAATTTTAGTTAAAGACAGCAAGAAAGTATATTTTTCACTGACATACGCAAATCAATCCATTTTTGCCTACCACCTGATAACTGTAGGAGCAAATGAGGAACTGTGTCTTAATTTACAAGGAAATGAAAAAGTGGAGATTTAATCTGAATGGCACATGTAATCTTCACAGAGAAATCATGATAAAACCTCAACATTCTTGGCCCTCTGTTCCAAACTACCATATGCTATTTCCAATTGAGAAGATGAGCAAGGGAAAAAAAATCTACTTTCATTTAAATTCTGTTGCTGTTCATAATTTTGTTAACCACAACTTGAAATCAAAACAATGATTATAGGTATAAAAAGATCTAGTAAAATATAGGGTTTTGAAAGGAAAATGCACTTAAATGAAGATAAAATGTTCTCATTTTATTCTCAGAATTTAACCAAAAGATACAAACCCATTGTTTTGCCAAAAATGATTTTAAAATACTGCTCTTTAACAATAAGCGTATGGAATCAAACTTTCAAATTCCCTTTTTCAAGCTACCTTTCTATGAGAATTTTCTTCTGAACTTGCACAAACTTGCAGAGAGAGCACAGAAGGGTATACATATTATCATAGCTTTACATAAAACTCCCGTAAATCAAAAGCTGAGTAAATGCTTGAATCCCAGTGCAATCCTACACTATTTCATGCTGTAATAAACTGAAATAGAAGGCCTCTGATTCAGTATGTTTGTGTTACTTAAACATAAGATAACATGTATTATGTTCAATGGACATTGTCAACTTCACCATTTTTTTGCCTACTCATTAGAAGACTTATTAACTGGAAACCTTTTTCCAGTTTAATTTGTGCATTTCTTAGTACTGTATATATTACATACAGTGATTTTAGTTGTTCACCCTGCACGGTCAGTTTTTCTCTTCATTGGTTTTTCAGACAGCAGCAAGGGAAAGAAAAATTAAAATAATTGGAAATGTGATTATAGAAACAATGATATAAAAGGGAGAGACTTAAGGGCAGTTTCCTATAATGAAACTTCAACCTCAGTTTTTCAAATTAGCTAGAAAGGTGTGGGATCAAAGTAAGAGAGAAAATTCCAAAGCAAGGCATTCTTCAAAATGCTGAGAATTTACAGAAAGGACAACAGGGAGATGAAAGCACTCTGGCTAAGTACAGAGAGTCCAAAAGCCTGAGGCAGAATGAATCCAATCTAGGCAGCTTCCTCTAAGCTGCGTAGGTTGAACTGATAACCAACTGAACTGACATTCAGTTTTCAATTGGGAAAGGCCTGCACTGACCCAGGCCAGTAGGTGGGAGAGTGCTATAGTGCATCTCCCAGCCTGCTGGCCATGTCGGCTCAGCCAAGTGTCCCCAACCCCCTGCTTGAGGAGCCCCCTGTCTGGATGCTGGCCCACCTTGGGGGAGCCCGCCTCTCAAGGGGTTTCCCCCAGGCTGGATCCCCCAGCCCAGACAGCCCTGGGGAACTGAAGGGAATTCCCCCTCCCCACCCCACCCCACTCTTCAGCAGCTGCCACAGGTGGGAGGGAGGGAGAAGTCCTCCACCCAGCCAGGTGCCTGCTCACAGCCCAGCATGGAGGCACTGGGAACCCTTCCCCCACCCCAGCCCAGGGTCTCCCAGCCCCAGGCAGTCCCAGGGAGCTGAGGAGAATTCTTCCCCTGCCCCAACCCACAGCTGCTTGCCTTAGCCCCTGTGAATCTCAGGGATAGCCCCCTCGCAGCATCAGGGAGCGAAAAGAAATTCTCCTGTTCCCCTGCAACAAGTTTTGCCTCAAACTCACAGCAGCTAAGGCAAAGTCAGCTGTGGCGGAGCAGAAAAATATTTCCCTCTGCTCCCTGAAGCTTCCCAAAACTGGCAGCACCCTAAGGCAAGGAGCTCTGGGATTGGGAGGGGAAGAATTCCCCACAGCTCCCTGGGGCTGCCCTGAGCGGGGGGACCCTGGGATGGGGTGGGGGAAGCCCTCCAAGGCAGGGGCTCCCAGGCACCCGCCAGGAGAACTGCTTCTCCCTCTCTCCTGTGGCAGCCGCTGAAGCAATCAGCAGCTGGGAAGGGGGAAGGTGGAGGGTTAAAAAGCCCCCACCACAGGGGCTTTCCCTCCCCCCCAAGTGCTGCGTAGACCATGGCCAGGGGAATTGGGGGGGGGGGTCCCCATGAGCTGACAGATGCAGGCAGGAAGCAGACTAAGGAGCAGAGAGGAGAGACAGTCCCTCCTCCACTGAACCAGACAGCACAGCCCAGGGCTGCAAAGCATCCTGGGATGCTGGGGGGACTGTAAATTAACTTGAACCAAGAAAGGATCTGGCACAAAAGTTCCATAAACTGGTTTGACCTAAAACAGTTAAGCCTGATACTACATCCAACCAGGTTTATTTTAAACCAGTTTTGTCCATTTTGAAAGCAGTTTACGTGAACTGAACTTCTGTTCTGTTACAGGTTTAAACCAGTTTCTGAACACTTAAACCAGTTGATATGTAACTTCTGACCCTAGCCCGTGTCCATGGGCAGAGCAGGTGGGGGATTCTATGTTTGCCACAATTTTTGCAGGTAGCAGAAAAGGGGTGTCTTGCTTTGCCTCTTTATTAATAGGCTCTGTTTCTCCCTTCACACAATGTGGAGGTGAGCTGCACAGGGCAGGGGGAAAGAGGACAAAGGGGAGGGCAGAAGCTACAGAGGGGAGCAGAAGACTGCTGTGGGTCTGACTCTAGCCCCAAACTGCAGCAGTTACCTGCCCCCCACTTCCCAATTTCCCAATTTGCAATGCAAGAGACCAAGAAATAGTGATCTTCAAATAAACATATCCACAGTAATTTGTATATATGGTATAGTCAATAACATGAGCAGCTTTTTTCCCCATACTGATTGGAGGAGGAGCAGCCTCATATTATAGTAAATACAGCACCTTCCTTTCCCCCTCCTTTACATGGCCTTAATGTAAATTTCAGAACAAACAGAATCTAGAAAAATTGTGAGAAGCTGGAAATTATTAGCACTTTATGACACTACGGTCATAGTGTCCGAGACCAAAAATTTACATGGGCCCTCTTGGGAGAACAGTCTGCTTTCATTATCTTGTTTCTAGTTCAGAAGAGCAGAAATACGTTCCCAGGTTCAAGACTCACCAGGCTTACTGGAAAGCTTCAAATCTGGAAAACGAAAGCCATCACTACACACTCAGTGTCTACACGTCTGACAGCCTACCTTCTCCCCATCAACACATGAAATAAATTTCACATTACAGAAAAGTTGCATCTATTTTGTTATTGATTTTTTTCCAGCCACATACATGATTTCACCCTTCATAATTTTCCCTTTGCTGCATTATCAGAAATCTGTTCTGCTCCATGAGAAAAGTACTTGCATTCATAGGGTTTTCACAACAAACGCTAAGCCTCTCTGTCAACATTTCTGTTTCCTGATCCGGGCACGTCACATTAGAGTCTGGACACTTTTCCTTACAACAAAAATGTGATTCCTGGAAGGGGCACTCCCCAAGGTAGAAGACAGGCCTAGTCCTAAATGAAAAAGGTGATCGGGGGAAGGGATTTTATTCCAGCAATACAGGAGTTTTGTTACTGACAAGTGTTTCATGCTCGGCCACAGCAAAGGGCTTGCATTTTTGCAATTTTGTTTTTAACTTCCTTTTTAATTATAATAATTTTAAAAGTAAAAATAAAGAAGTCCCTCTCCCCACCAACCTCCAATATCAAAGTAACAGTTTTATACTTCTCTTTTTTTAACAGCCTGGAAACAGTATTTTACTGCTGTATTTTTGCCCCTTTTTTCTTAGAGAAAGTATAATTGTATGAGCACTGATGACACTGTCTAAATTATTTGCTCAAATACACAAGACTTTTTCTCTCTATTCCTACACTTCTCAACGATGTTGTATATGTCCCAGCTAGCGTATGCTAAAATCAGTGAAACCAGTGTCTCCCTGATTTTTAGTAGTCTTGAATCCTCTACAAGGTGGGGTGTGGGGAGGAAAAAAAGAGATGGAATTCTTAACATCTGTAATTTTATTAAGCATTCACAGCATGTCCCAGAATGTTTTTTGTCTGACAATGCAAAACAGTTATTGAACAGCTCCATTAAAATCTGTATTC